AGGAGAAAAATAACAAAATGGAACCATGGCCTTTTCTGAGTACTAAGAGCCACTCTCCCCCCATCCCAGGAAAGCCTACCTCGACATTGATGAAATAGTTGAATGAGTCTATGTGCTGCTTCACCAGTCCTTTCACCTGAAAAATAATGCACACAGCAAATAAAATCAGCTTCAGTAACATTAATCACAGAAGCCAGAAATTAAGATACAAGCATTTATAACTGGTTTTAGATATTAGATAACTCTGCTAAATTCTTTCAGCTGACAAACTTCTGGGAAGGGGCTGGTTGCTCACTCTGGTTCTACACTACATTTCAAAGCTTACACTGGATCAGTCATATAAAGAGCACGGATAGGGTCTCTGAGAGCCAGTAAAACAGGAAAAAAATCTGGAAACATTACATATATACAGTATAGATTGAGAATATGCATACCGATATGCAAACCTCTAGGAGGATGTCTCCACAAAATAATCTGTAAATTAATCAAGAAAACAATCTATGGAACATGTCTATTGATAACTGCAAGGAACTAAAACAAAAGGCAAAATCCACAGGAAAGTGAGGAAAAGTATTCTGGTAAACAGTAAAAGCCAGAAGAAGGTAATGTAAAGTTAGAAAGGAGATGAAATATTCACACCATGAAATGAGTATGTAGCACTAACCTTTAGAAATGCTGGAAGAAGTCTCCATTTTTCCTGAAAAGAAAAAACAGTTTGAAACATCTTTCCAGGGAGTAGCCAAACGTCTAACATGCTGAGCCTTTCTGTCTGCATGCTTTATTGTTATTGTTGTTTTTTGACAGTAACATTATTTAAAATGTGATCCATTTAGAAAAGAAAACAAAACAACTGTCTAAAGCCCACAGAGATGGATAAAAACTACCTGGATCATCTCAGTAAACCATACATGCAGCATTTTCTCAGGATGCAATGGCACACTGCCTCTTTCCTAAGAGCAGCTTATGTGAAAATGTATTTTTCTGAGAAAATTCTTTAACACCATGTCCTCATTTAAGATCAACTAACATTTTTTTGGCTTTGTTCTGTTAACACTGTAAATTATATTCCTAGAAAGGGAAGATTTCCTACAACTTTTTCTTTAAAAAACACATGTAAGAACCTGGGAGCAGCACTTGTTCTCTGTAACACTTATCAGGACTCTAAATCCTACAAAGATTTAGCAAAAGTACTGACAAAGTATATCAAGATTCCAACAAACTTTCCCCGATTTCTAATCTCTGATAAGCACAGGGAACATCTCCTTATGTCAGCCCCACTTCCTCCGACCATGGCAGTGCAAAAACTTACAAATATCTTTGGTTGGAGACAAAACCCTTTTATTTAGGAGGAGTGCTTCCAGCCCTCATATGCTTCTCTATCTACTACCATTTAAAAATACTAGAAAATTAAATGATCAAAAAACCCTGTAGAAAGTCGTTAGCCTTCTTCTATCCACAGAAATACTGATGGTGCTCTTGGCTTTCAGCCTCCACTGCTGCTGTTTGTTAATTTACTAATCTTACTTGTGATCCCAATTCAACATCTAATAGTGGCAAAGCTAATGAAGTAAAAAGAAACACATGCAGTATGGTGCGGCTTTTAATATTGGTCCTTCGTGGTTCATGTGCAGTAGCGATTACAGTCTGCAAAGCTGAAGAGTGGTTGATTTCAGGTTTTTAGGATTTAAATGTTATGTCTAAAAAAAAGGGGTTTAATCTGTTAAATAGTAATGCAATTAAACTGATGACCTATGGATGAAGCTAATGATTTTAATCTTAAGTAAATACTTCAAGGCCAGGCTGGAAGGGGCACGGGGCAGCCTGGTGCAGCGGGAGGTGGCCGTGCCATGGCAAGGGGATGGAAGGACACGAGCTGTGAGGTCCCTTCCACCCCAGATCGCTCTGCGACTCTGCGCGCAGGACACAGGCGGGGCAGACACTAGGGACGGCACATCAGGAGGCCGAGCCCGGCTTCATGAGGGGCTGCCTAGGGGCCGCTCGGACCAGACAACCCCCCACCACACACACCCACCCCACACGCACAAACACACACCGAGCGGCGCAGCACGGGCAGGGGGTACTCCACGTGTGCGCCTGCAGAAGACTCCTTCCACCCCACCCCAGCTCAGCTCTGCCCGGCCACACTTCGGGAGAGCCCGAGGCGCGCCCGGCCGCTTGCCGCTTGCCCCTTGCCCCGCTGACCTCCACCGTGTTGACCGGGGCCGCCGCCTGCTCCGGGGTAAGCGCGCCGAGCCCCAGCGCCTCCATCGCCACCCGCGCACTGTGGCGCTGCAGCACAGCGCTTCCCCCCGCGCTCCAGCGCGGCGTCCGAAGGTTCCGGCCCCGCGCAGCCCGGGCGCCAGGACCCGGCAGCCCCCGCTTCCCTCTGCCCTGCGGCCCGCCCCGCCGGGGTACTGGGGAACAGGCAGCGCCCGGGGGTCCCCCTTGAATCCCCGAGCCGGTCACCGCTCCCCCGCCGGCGCAGCCGGGGCCGGAAGGCGGCAGGGACACGGATCAGTTGGGCTTTAAACGGGTTTCCTGCAGTTTTTAGTATGTAAAGCAACACGGGAACCAGCTTTTAGCGTTGTTATTGTTATTATTATTATTATTGTTGTTGTTGTTATTATTATTGAATGCTGTAGCTGAATCACCTACAAATTTATTTGTTCTCCTTTACAAGGGTCTGTGGTACAGAGACACCAAAATCGTAGTCAGATGGGGAGCTACTCATCTGCCCCAGTTCAAGATTAAACGAGAAGCACGAGTGATCTCCGTAGCTTCCTGTGGCAGTAAGGTTTTGAGATATATATATGTATATATATGTAAATATAATAATTGGTAAGTTCTAAAAGAGTGTGAAAACAGCACATACAGACGTCTCCTCTGGCACAGGTTCCACATGAGTAACATTCACGAGGTTGGGTCTGGGCTCCACCCATCCTCGACACTAAGGCCCTTACCCTAAAGAGGAGTAACATTTAAGACTCCTTCCATTTGGTTTCCTGCCTGAAGCCCACAGTCAATGGAGAATTTGTTTAATACGCGGCAATCCATGTTTAATCCGTGCAAGGCCTCTATCAGGCACAGGGGGAAGCTTGGAACAGCTTCTCAGAGAAGCCACCCCTGCCTTCCACTCCCCCTGCAACTCTGCCATACAAACCCAATACATCCTTCATCCAAGTAGTCAGATTTAAGCAGGCAACTGTTTTGAATATTATTTGTACAGCTGGATTAAAGTCACTACTCTACACTGGAGCTGCTTCTGAGAAGTACCAGAAAAACAGTCACAACAGAATATTAGTGGAGTAATTTATCTTTGGCATTTAACAATCTGTTGCATTTAATAACATTTGTGTAAAAGACTTTTCACCACTGATGTTATCACAAACAAAATTTAATGCATACAAACCCTCAAATACTTGGTTTTAAACAAAGCTGCTACAGAATGGCATCTTATTTTACAAGGACAACTTCTGAGTCAAGTGCATTTCAGCCACAGTAGCATAAACAGCATGCAACACATGACATTAAACAGATGCAATGTCCCTGTTTGAAACATTAAATTAAAACACATTAAACAATCACTTGAAACACAGGCCATGCTATAAAATGCCCTTTGCAAGTCACCTTAACCCCCACCCCCCCCCCCCAAATAAATGCTATGCTTTGAGTATTTACTGGTAAAAACTAGTATGACAGTTTTCCCAGCTCATTAAAGAGCTGAAGTTCGATATCTATTTGTACAATAGAATGGATATAAAATATTACAATTAAAATTTCATAATCATATTAGCAATCACCTTCAAATGTTCATAAAATCCACTTTTGGCTGAAGCTCAAAAGCATGTAGGTATTTCTAAAATTGTAGCAAATCACTAAGATTCATTCCCTCTAGCTGTTTTTTAAATTCATTCTTATCTTAATGATTTTGGATTGCCTACCAAAATTTCATATTCATCTGAGCAAGCCTGGCACAGTTATGATAGTCTAAGAGTTCCTTTCTCCTAGGTTTTCCAGGAAACAGTTCCCTTTAAAACATGTATTCATCTTTATTTTGTGCAATGTTTTCACAGAGGATAGAAGAGAAGTGCACTAGAGAAATTTCTCTAAAAAGGCATAGTGACCAAAGTCCTTGGACACTGAAGAACAACTGAATAGAAGTAATTTCCTTTGCTATAAAGGGTACACATTCCTGTAGAAATGGACTACAAAACCACAGTGCTAATAATGCCCAGGTTTTTTTTTTAGAGCTTTATGATAGGTACAGTAATGTACATAAACAATTTGTGTGACACATTATGCTTTTACAAGTTATTTTTGTCTCTTCATAAAAAATAGACTGTAATATAAAATATTAAAAACAAGCTCTAACTTGTACCACACCAAGGTTTTCTATATATGACATCTTAAAAGGAGTAGTATATGGTAATATATTAAAATATCATTTTCAAGTAAATTATTCAATTTCATAGACAAGAACAAGTCTATAATATGTATTCCAGCACTATCTAATCCCAGTAATCTGAAATATGCAAGATAAAGCCTGTGTAAACTTAAAGTAGTTCACTTCCACATTTCTCTCTTTCAATCCTATTCATTTTCTGTATGCAAGATTCCCAATGCCTTAAATATAAGTATTCTTAAATCTAAGTATTGGGGCCCAGTCCAAAGAAATTAGAGGAAAACAGGAGCATTTCTCACACACTCCATAAAAAAGTGAATATAATAATATTTTCAAAATTTACTAATTAATCAGGTTCTTGCTTTCAGATCTAAGAATATCTTGTGAAAAATTTACATTCTATTGGATAAGGGCATGAAAGGAGCAGTTCTTCTGTGGTACACTGTGAGGTCAGGGTTAAGTGCTTTTGGGAACAAAGGTTAGAAAGACCTAACATAAAAATACTTAATACTCATCCATTACAATCAAAGATCAATACATACACATCTTAAAAGTTCTGTATGACCTCCACCAAATAAACAAAATGCTTATAAACACATTTATATACAGAAATTTACTCCACCCTCAACATCATGTTTCTCAGGTGTTTATCGTTAATCTCAGAGTTGAGAAGTTCTGAATCATTCATAATTGAAGTTGTGAACGCTGCTTCTGTAACTGCTATCCTGCAAACAGCTTGTAACACTGGCATTCTTTAATGTAACAGAGGCAAAGTTCTGGGTCCAGTAATTGCAGGAGTACCTGAACTTGGCCTGGTATGAATCTGGGTTTGGTTACTAAAGCAGTTATGCTATACTTACTTCTTCAAAGTATTCTCAGAAACATAATTGTTGTCTGAGATGTTACTCTACAAAAATACAATGTAAGCATAGTACATTTTATCTACAGTTGTTTTCTCATTTCCTAATATGCATTGCTATATGTAAATAGATTTGAGTTGAAAAATAACATTGTTTTGATGGTGGCAAAACAGTAAGTACATTGCCAGCTCTTTCCCACTGCCAAGTCATAATAAATGCTTGCTATGGAAATTAATAATTCACTGGCTATTACAATCCATTAAACAAATATTTTTCTATTAAAATATATATATGACCTTGACATTAATTTCTTTACAGTGAATTTCGGAAACTATCTGTATACATTTTACAAGATCTTTCCCCATCAACAGTCACTGGAGTAGGCTGTTCTTAGAGATGTGACTTCCCACTGTCTTGGAAGATTAAAAAAAAGGGTACATTTTTTAATTGCTAGATGTTTCTGCTTCTGTTTCCTCCATTGCTGCCTCTGGAAAAAGCAGTTTTCTAAGTATGTTTGCATAGAATGGTCCATACACTTTTTTATTGAAATTTACAATGCTTGCATACTGAGATCCCAGAAACTCTATCTCTGTCTGAATCACAGAAAGGCCTCCTGGCATAGTAGGCATACACTTCTGAAAACTCGGAAGAGCAAGCAAGCTTCTCATGAAGAGCTGGATTCGTTTGTCTGAAATGGAATATAAAGTACACTCAGAACAAATGTAAACCCAAGATGATGCCACAGTCACTTTGTAAGTACCCTGCACATCAGCACAGCAAAAAATCCAACATGTAAGCAACAACTCCTTCCCAATATTGTTTTGGTGTGGGAAACAATACTGTAAGTTTCTTAAACAATATGTTTAAACCCAGAATGGACAGAAAGACTGAACACTCATTTTATCTAAATTCTTCTCCAAAATATTAGGCTGCTTAGGCTTCTCTCTACATGCACTTTTACAATTATTTCCAGCTGTGACTAACCATGCTCTGCAGCATACCCAGAACACCATTTCCAAGTAAGCAACATATCCTTGGTCTTAGTTGAGCCAGTATTTTACTGCAGTAAGAAAATACTTTTAGAAGATAATGAGACAGCTGATTAAGCTGGCTGCCAGTAAGTTTATAAACAGACACATATAATACGACAATTAGGTAGTCTCTTACTAACCAATCAAGGAACAGACAGGATTATTCTTCTCAACAACATGAGCGATTTGACCCATTAAATTACTCTGCATTTCTTCATTAAGAGTTGGAAGACCTCTTTCACTTAGAGACTTGTTCACTATGCTGCAAATCTGGACACCAATAGCATTCAGAGCCTCCTTCAAGTCAAAACTTCTGGAAGAAAGAGAAAAGCATTAAATTCTGAAGTTTCTGTAGCATAGGTCCTAAAGTGCCCTCACTTGTCTTCTTTCCCTTTTATTTTCAACCTGGTCTCTGCAATGAGAATTTTGAAAAGTTTTCATCTTTTGCTGCAGATTTATGTAAATCTACATATACAGGAAAATTCCTATGTGGAAGATAAAATAGGGACCTAGCTGTGATCCAAATGGGAAAAGTAATTTCATGTGTGCAGCAGTGACACCAGTTCACTTTATCCTTGTGCCTAGGTGTTTTTCTGGGCCACATGCATAGCATTCCATGAGAAAAAACAGAGTGGAAAACTCTTTTAAAAGACAGTCACATACATCAGACTTGCCTGTAGCACAAGAAGCCAAAGAAATAGGGAGCCAAATAACTTGAACTACCTACAACAAGTTTGAAGCAACTCCCAAGAGGATTTAGTGAATGTACTGCCACAGTATCCCCAGTATTAGGAGTGTGTGAATGAACTTTACTACTAGGTTCCAAAATTTGTACACTAACATCATGACTAAGATTTCATTAAAATCTACCTTTGAAAACACTTGTCTAACATATAGTGGCCTTGTATCATAAAGGGAATATATAAATTATTTGAATTCGGTATCTTCCTATTAATAACAAGCACCAGCTATGACACTAGAATTGTTTCCAATTATTTACCATCAAAAAAAGAGTAAAAAAAGGCCTTACTTCTTATTCATGCCTTCAAGAAGAGGAAGGGAGATCCTTTTCAGCTGATCAGTGAAATCAGGCACATCTACAATTGCTGCACCCACCATGTTGTTTGTTATGAGAGAAACACAAGCTATGACTTTTAATTGATTGAGCTTTTCTCTCAACTCCTGAAGACGAACTTCATCTGTTATTAGAGTCTAGAATTGAAACAATAATACTAATTTAGGAATAAGGAGAAGATCTAGGAAAGAGATCTAGGATGTAGTCATGAAGCACTACTATTTTTAATCACAAATACACAAACCCAGAGGAGACAGCAACTGAAATACCCTAAATATGTAGTGTAGTATAGTATAAAGTGGCATTTTGTACAAGTACCAGAAGTAAACCTGTGGCAGGAAGAAAAGTAATGAGGAAACTGAGGACATTGCACCTTATTCCTCATCACTGCTGACAAATCTGTAACCAACAATTCAGCCCACAACATGGAATGCTCAGAGGATCCGGAAGACATTGTAACAACCAAGTTACAGACAGAAGTCTTCCGGATTTGGGTGTCTTTTGAAAAAATGCCAGCATTTGTAACTGATGGATAATAATGAACAACTGTGCTTGACAACCACCAATTCAACCACCTGAGCTGGTTCTGCAAGTGACACATAAGCTGCTCCAGGCAAAAAGCCAGCTGATCATACCAAGAGCGTAAGTAATCCCCACAGCAAGATGTAGCTGGAGTTCATTTTAGGTTACAAAGAGTTCATCCTGAGCAGCACAGGGGCATTAACATCCAACAGCAGTTAGTAGCAATTTCATAGTATGGCAAGCTAGATCTACCAGAGGACATCTGTATGTAGATCTTACTCAAAACTGCTCACAGAAAGGTAAGGAAGTGGTTTCACTTCTGTCTACTGACTGAGAACACCAAGAGCATCCCCATGTATTTAACAAGTTCTCTGCCAGGCCATCCTACGTGTAGCTAAGGCCCTCTCTGGAAATGCAAATGTTAGCCTTGACTGCTGACAAATTTCCCACTGGCTTTATGGAAAGTTGCAGAGGTCAGTAATCAGGAATTGGAGGGGAAAACTGAACACTGAGTCTTGAAGCAATAGTTTACACTGAAAGGAAAAATACCTACTTTAGAGAAGCAAGTTTTTTACTGATTCTGTTTTGAAGAGCAATCCTACCAATTCCTGCTGCTGTTAGGAAAACGGAGTGCTACAATCAGTTCTTTTAAAAACAGAGAAAGCAAAGTACTGTAAATACAAGGCCCAGCCTTTGACCACAGCCAAGACTGCTCTTAGGGTGGAGCTGGTGAGCTATGATTGGAAAGAGGGAGAACAACCTTTACCTTGTTCTCTTCTGGTTGTTGACTTGCCCATCTCAAATTTCAGAATCTGGACTAGAATATAATCTCCTAATTTCAGATTTACTGTGCAGAAATTTAAGGAGTGCAAAAGAGTATTCACTTACTGTCTTCCATAGCAGGTTTATTGTATCACACTAATGATTTCATATAGCTGGTAATCTGAAGACACCAAAATATATTTCTTACCTCTGGAATTGTTTTGCAATAATCCCACTGTAACAGTTTCAAGTAGCCATTGTTTAGCACCAGTGTAGGACTAATAATTGGTTTTGAACTACTATCAGCACCAGGGCATGATGAAGACTCATCAGAAATAGATGACAATTCATCCTCTATTGATTCCTTTATCCATTCTGTTGTGAGATTCAGGGCACCTAAGCATTGTAAATAGCACAGATTTACTGCATGCCTTCATCAAAATAAGCACTACCTTGAGGAAAAAAAAAGATTTGTATAGAGAAGAGAATTCAACTTCTGAAGACTTAAACATAGTGGGCAGCTGAGTCATCACAAATGGTAATTCTCTCCCTTTCTTCCACTGATCATCTTCCACTGGTCACCTTTAATTCTACCTGGTTTGTAGAAACCCAGCCACAAATTGGTAAGACTTCAGACAAGATTTTTAGGTAATAGAAGTCTCAAAGTTTGAGAGTCCTTCCCAAAGGATTGCTTTCCCTTTTTCAGAGAAACCACTAATCAGATAGGATGTAAGACTAAAAGGTACAGGTGAAGGAAGATTAAAACGTTTGATTTGTTCTGGTAGAGTTCTTCTCAGGCTGCATAAATGAACACTGCAGGCCCTATCAGTGGCTCAGAGCTCTCATTTTAGAAGCCCCTGCTCCAGATGTTAGCATGTTTACTTATTCTTCTTGGAGGATGTATTTCTGAACACTGTTTAACCAAATCACACAAAACTGTGTGATCACACAAAAATCACACAAAAATAGTGAATCAAGTTGACTTTGCATCATCTAAGAAATTATTTTCAGAGTCTGCTTTTGTTTATTAAAAAATAGATCTTAGCCCTTCCAGCTTTCAGGTGCACTAACTCGTTTTACATGCTTACTTCACACTAACAACTGAACAGTTGCACACAAAAGAGAAAAGGCTCATCTTATGGACTCTTGCTTCTGCATCCAGACAGCAAGAGTCACCACTTGTTTGTTTTTCAGACACCATCCAATTCAGCAAATATAAGTTTGTCTGAAAGTGCCTCAGATTACAGACAGATAAACTTGATGGCAAGTTAAGCAACCATCCAGTGATAACTTGCTTGTTAAAAAATTTTTCCATTACTTATATACAGAAAAGAAATTGAAGTTTTCATCTAAGTTAACTGCAACTTGTAGAGTTTTCACAGCATGTATTTAAATAGGCTTCTTTTCAAATAAAAGTTTAAATTTAATATAGCGTGGTACATACTTGGTGTTTCTTCAAGAATTTCCTGGAATTTTGTTCTTTCATAGTCCACCAAGTTATGCCAGAGGTATGGTCTAAGGCTTTTAATTGTGTAATTTGCCATATCCACTTTCATCAGGTCCAAAACACGGAATATTTGTCTGAAAAGAAGAATTTAAAATTTCACAGTTTAATTTAATCTATTGATTTTCATCAGCATATGTGAAGCACATGTACATTATCACTTTAATTTCAATTCTGGAGAAGTGAAGGCCTTCACTGGCACTTCAGAATAACAGATATATTACCTATCATCTGGAATTCTTGAAGATAAGGCTTGGCCTAAGTTAAAAAGAACAGAACTGATGTAGCATCACTAAATGCTACAGCCCTGTAATTTTTTCAAAAACTACATGAATTGGTATATTTCAGCCAAAATTAACAGATTTTAACTTTTTGGTCACTGACTGCATTAAGAGAAACAATCCTTCTGACGCAATTGTTTTGATCCCCATATACATACATAGTAGAACAACTACCATTTAGTCTTAATATTTCAGCGTACCTCAGGAGCACTGTTTTCTGCCCTGTTATGCAAATGTTTTACCCAAGTTCAAGTGATAAGATCTTAACTAAAGAGCCTGTAAATCCAAAGTTTGGCCTTCCAGAAGAAGCATGCAATTAACTCTTCAAGAAGAAACAGTACAAGTATGCTGTTTACATTTTGTAAGAATGAACAAGACAGAAAAAGAGTTTCTGAAACAGAGATTATTGCAAGAGTTGTTGGTTTAGATATTCAGAGCTGCCTAGTTTCATCTAGGTATCCTACTCATTTCATTACAAAGTGAGATACACAATCTGTTTAGCGTGTCAGAGCTCTTCCTCTTTAATGCTTCAGAAGTTCTCCTATAAGTTTAAGAACAGGTGTTATGCAAACTGACACAACTTTAGACTTCCTTAACCCAGCCCCCCACCTTCCACTGTCTACTACCCTTTCAGAGAGGCGTTTTTTTCTCCAAAAACCACACTCAAATACCAACCTCAGTAACTCTACAATATTGTCAGTTGCTTTTAACTGTTTTATGTCATTGTCTCTTATTGGAGCACATAACTTTCCCATAGTGTTGATGACATAGTTAGCTAGTCCAGGAATATCAACAGCATTATGTTCTGCCTGCTGTCTTATAAGATCCATGTCAAGAACTTCACAAATTTGATTGTGAATCCTGTTTGCTCCAGGAGTCAGGAAAGAAAGAAGAATCTAAATTAGAGGGAGCAAAAAAGAAAAAGCTTATCAATAAAGACCAAACCACTTAGTAAGCACACTTGAGTGAAATTTTAATATTCATGTCAGGTGTTTATAGCTGACAGATTATAACCAGACATTTTAAGACTGAACATTATCAAAGGTTGTGGGGATAAAAGAACTGCTTGGAAAAAACAAACCAGTACAGTTCTGCAAAAATGCTCAAACCAATAAAACAAAAAGCAAGTCCACAACTAGACCTGTTCAAAAGCTGGGAGGCTACCTTGTAAAACAAACATTTACTAACTTAAAGTTCTGAATGACTTAGTATTGTGCCAGGATTGAAGGTTTGTATGCTCACCTGTGCGATAATCAAACAATGAAGTTTAAGTGGGCAGGTCCAATCATGTTTATACTGTTGTTCATGCCCTAAGCTCACAGTATGGTTCTGGAAACATGGCTAGTAGAGATGTGAAGCTTTGGGAAAAGAGATGACTTTCAACTGATCACTGTGCAGTGAAAACTGACTGAACATGCCACTGTTTGTTTGCGGCCATGTTCCTGGTTAATATAAATATACTACAAATAGACATCTATTTTCAGTTCTGAATAATCATGGCTTTATATTATAAAAGGAAAATCTGAAGGTGTTGACTCAGCTAAGTTAAGCAGACCCTTTGGTGAACTAAGGGACTCTTAAAGCTAAGCTGACAAATCAATACAGAGAAAGAAGAACATTACCTCCTTAATTTCCTCAAAGAGCTTGATAGCATGTTTGTATTCTGGAGGATCTTCATTCAGTTCCGATTCCAAATGATCCCAAAATGCCTTGTGTACAATTTGTTTCACTGTGCCTGCAAAGCTGTGGAGAAAGTCAATTAGATACAGAGAAGACTCACAACTAGCTTCCATCCTTGTAACTGTTCCAGATGAGACTGATCAATTGTTGGGAAACACACCTCCCCAAATACTATGCCCTGCAATAACATCTTTCTTGGGTGATAGATCAGCAGGTCCCAAAACACAGTCGAGATTGCTCCATTCATTTCTCCTCTCTTTCCAATACCAGCGCTACTTTTTGCAAAATTCAAGCTCTTACCTGTTTTGTGGGTAGTCTTCGTGTTTTATGCAAAAATTTGCATTTACAGCAATTTCATGAGCTAGAGTCCAGTTTGACAGATTTCTTGTAGCTGCCATCAGTTCATCAAATGTGATAACCTTGGGAGGGCTAGCTGCTGGAACAAACAAGATCAATTCAAGCTAAATATCTATAGCTGATAAGTGCAATTGAATATACTAAAACCTAGAAATTTTACTACTTGCTAGTTGGACTCCAGTACTCTAGAAGAAGCAACCCAAGATTACCAAGTCTTTATATCTTCCTGAAACACTAACTCAGGAAACTCCCAGTTTATCAGGGGTGTGTGTGTTTGTGGGGAAATACCACACAAGCCTCAAAATATTTTGAGGAGCATTTTCATATTTCCGCATCTGAACTAAGATTTTTTTTTTCCTTTAAAATGGGATCTTGCATTTCACAGATTTCCTACTAACTGTTCTGTCAAAGCCACCCAACCAAAAGCATGGGCAGTAAGAGATACTAGATGTCCACTATAATTCCAAGCACAATGGCTATATTGCCTGTTGAAGAGGTTCCTCAGTTACTGACTCACAAACCCCCCAACTTAAAATGAGCAGATCTTCAGTCTGCTGTGGAATTAAGTTATACTCATTTTTTTAGGAGCTAGCAGCAATGACAAAACAAACTCTACACTGGAAAACAAGAGCAAATTCCCAAAGTTTCTAAATCTTTAAATTCTATAATTTAATGTAGTATTCGGAAGGCTGGTAACAAAGAAAGACAAAGAGCCAGCTGCCAAATGCAGCTCCACTAATAAGCTTGTTTTAATATAAGACTTAATTTACATAGATGTAAGAAGTAAGCATGGTCTGCAAATGCTTACAGATACAGAGAAACCACATTATAACCAAGGTTTTATTTACCATTACTCAAATTATCCTCCTTGTGCAAATGTGTGTTTTCTATTTGATTCTAGTATTTATGAAAGAAAAATGTGAATTCAAGATAATTACATGTAACTTGGTATGATATTACAAATCTGTAAGTTACAGAAATAATTTTTAAGTGCAGGGATCAAACAGAAGAAACCCATCCTTTGCACAAAAACATATCTGGTTGAGTGGGAGGCTGCTACCAATGTCAAGGTTAGGAAGACCATGGTGACACACTTTTCTTACACTTTCTGAAGGGAAGGAGTGCACAGGGAGACCCCCGTGGATACAGCTGCTGCTGGTGTTCCACACACAGGAGATTCACTGCTTCACAGCAAAGAGAAAGCCATGCCTCTCTGTTAATACTCTTAAACAGATTCAGAATCCCAGGTTCTACCCATGACAGCAAAGAGAAACAAGGTAAGTTAGCCTTATTGGTCCATGCACAATGCAGGTGAGGCTGAAATAGGCTTACACAGTGGGGAGCTGGGTTTGCTTGAAGAATCACTGTTAAAGCTCTGCCTGGAATATTCTGTGTCACTGGAAGAAACTGTGCTTTCTGAGAGCCGTGAAGAATCTGAGTCACTGTTCTGGTCATCATTGAGAGGCATTCTGAATCCCTTTACCTTGTTTACACAGTAAACAAGACCTAGAAAGACAAACACAATTCCCATAAAACCAGCACTTACTTTTGTTTGTTTCTCAAAAGTCAGCTACTGATCATTATATTGTGAATGAAGATCAAGTAGTTGCCTTTCCTAAATAGGAAAAGCAAAGGAAAGGATTTGGCTTGACAAAAATGGCAGAATCATATAGTTATCAACAAACTATACCTTTTCTGTAAGAAAGCTTTGTACCTTCAGCTATTTCATACCTTAATGAATCTGTGGGAGACAGTCCCTAAATTGATCATATTTAAAAAAATGTAAGACTACCCACAGGAACACCTGAAGCTACTTGTTGCAAGAATTTTGGTAGTTTTCAATGTCCATAAAGGCATTTCGTGATGTCACCATCCTCTACCTGACCTCACGAAGAAGTGGTGTTTAGCAATGAGTTTCTTTCCACAAACAGACTGCGCCGAGTGTAACGACTGTGAAGCAAACACAAAAGTTGCAGGCAGAGAACAGGCAAGTAATTCAGAATATTACATTTCTGACAGGGTGTAGCTGAAAGTCTGGCCTTTAGGTGGGTCTGTGCTCAGAATCAGATCAACAATGGCACAGACCCAAAAACCAATCCTCCTAGGGGTGAAGGCGGGTGGATAGGTTTTCTGGTTTAAGTCAAATGGCAATTCTGAGCCTCTAACATTCTATTTAGCAGAGACAACAATCTCCACTGACAAGTGTTGTGCTTCATAGTGCTTCTGTCTATGTAAAGAAACTGCCTCCCTGGCAGATAATCTGCAATTGCAGAAAATGTGGACAGCTGCACAGTGTGATACAGATGATTAACAACTGCATGACAGGAAGTGAAAAATATGTTCATAATAGTATTAAAATGAGAATCTGGAAGTCAGCTGTAATTACGACCAAAGGAATTTGGCCCAGATACCAAAAGTAGTATTCCATCTCCGATTATGACCATGAAGCATTCTGTAGTGGACTTCATGAAGTGACATAGGCAGCAATGATTTCCATCAGCAAATTTAATAGATAACTTCATTTATTATTAAATCACATCAACTTCAGTAGGCAGGGAATTCCACACTTTGCAACTGCTGAATTTGGAAAAAAAGACACTTTTAGCAATAAAAGGATGATCTTTGTCTGTACTTATGTGAATCAACATATTGTGGTGTCCTGGGACAGACAAAAGGTAGTGAAAATTAAGATTTCTTTATTTCTGGCACCTAGCTACAGCTTAAAGCATTTGACTGTTTGGGTACCAACTCATCCTGAATAGGCCTTTATAATTTGATGAGCTACTACACTGATGAGCACCCCCCTGTTAATTGAAATGATTAACATTTCTTAAGTGTGTGTTTACTCTTCCTCTTCTCCCAAGAGGAAACACTCTTGGATGCACTTGAGCACCTTATTTATGTCATACTTTACACTGGGGTTTTTTTGTGAAAAGAATTGGTCCCATTAGCAGCTAAGAACACAGCTAACAGTTTATCACAGTACTGGAGGAGCCAGTGAGAGACACTTGACTAGAACTCAGAGGTCATGCATTCAGAACTTGCAACATTACCAGTGATGCTAAGCATCATAACTCTTATTAGAACAGCAATTTTATAATTTCTACCAAGCAAATATTTAAAAGAGTATTGGCTAAACAAGACAGAATTGAAGGGAACCTAAAAAACACTACACACAGACATTTTGGCTTGGAAATTGTATTTAAGTTACAATTAGAAATGGGTCACTAGTTAATGCTAGAGAAGAAACAAAATATTTCTTCAATTAAAATCTGTGTTACAGATCTAAAAGTTAGTGAAGATCAGAAACTAGTTGCGACAAACTAGTTATAGAAGATACTTGAGGTTCTTCATGTTGAACTGCTCACTTAAATACAGTAACACTGTTAAAAGTGTGTGAAGTTTTTATTACCCTCCAACTAGTTTTTTTTAAATCAATATAAGAACACTGTATTTCCAGGCTTTAATCTTGTATATCACCCCTTTATTTCCATACAAATAACTAACCTCCAAAAGATTAATGTTGCAGGATGTGGTCCATCAAAATATTTGATTAATGTTGTTCGCAGTGTAGTGGCCCAAAGTCTTGCAAATCGCTTGCAGAGTGTGAGCAATTCACGATGTGTCTACTGCTTCAGTTCAGGTGTTAAGAACATGGAAGAAGGTAAATGACCATTAAAACCCCAAATACTCTCACACAATTTACACATCATCATTTCATAAATTTCCTCTTACCTCTAGGTATGACAATGTTAATAAACATTTAGCTTTGCAAGGTTCTTCTGACAGAAGTACTAAACCAGCCATGAAGGCAAGTCAGCACTGCCATTTTCCACCCCACCTTGATTTCTAAGAAGATGAAGTGGTTAAGGTAGAATTAGATGTCCATATACATTAAGTCCTTAAGCACTAGTCCCAGCAAAGGATCAATGCACACAGTTGCATTTCAAAGATCCACATGCATTTTGATGTATCAAGACCATACCCGCTCCCACAATATATGCACATATACAGACAGCAGAGCTGTCAGTAGGGTGCTTCAGAAGGCTTAAGTAAGAAGTTTCAACACTGCAACTGGAGGTGACACACAAAAAACCACTGCAATCTTTTGCCACACTAAATACATTTCTTGGTAGAATGCTTCAAGCACAATAGGAAGTAAGAGTGGGTGTAGTCTGCAGATTCAGAACATTATTGCTAAATTCTACATTTAAAAGATAAACACATGAAACTGAATGTACATGAATATACAAGCAGAACCTGCATGGGCCATCTAAAACACTTAGGCAAAAATACAGTCATTGAGCATATGAAAGGTAAGCACAAACCAAAAATGGCCTTTCTAATTAGTTACAACAATAGACAACTGAGTTACTCAGTCTTTGCTTTATAGCATACACTGGAAGAGCTGATTTTCCTTATGTTTTTGTAGATAGCACAGAAGTTCTCATTAATAACTAATGGCCAAGTTCATTTAGAACTTTAAATTAGTATATAACAGTCACATAAAAATATGTCAAAAAGCCCTTCAGCCTTGCAAGATCTCTTTGTAACTCACCATCTTGGATAAACAATACCATCTTGGGTTTTTTAAAATTTGCTTATAAAGTATTACATATTAGGCTGTTGTTTTAATACACATATTAATATCCCAACTGTTCTATCAAAGGGATCAGCCTGAGGTTACAACCTGCTTTATTCTGCTACATTAAAGACTACCCACATTTATATTTATATTAGGTTGGACACCATCACAGTGGGCTTCATCACACCATTTGCTTTCTTTCAATCAGTACCATACTGTAGGGTTAAGGATAAACTCTTTGGAAGACCAAGCTAAAAGTATCTTCTACAGGTACCAACCCCAAGATTACAATTTAACAATGAAGAAATTTTCACATTTCTGCTATTTAGACAGGTGAGGATTATTCTTTTTAGTAAAAAGAAAATTAATACAAAACTGCAGATGCTTAAAGGCATTTTGTTCTTAACTGGCTACTGCATCACCCAGCTAGATTCTTCATTTAGAACTTATCAAGACTGCAAGATCAGGTTAGTTTTAGAAGACACAAACACACTTTTTATTTCTGTAGCTTTGCTTTAGAAGTTATTTTACGAAGCACCTGGGGGAAGGAGGGAGGAAGATAGTTTCACAGTTGGGTATTTTCTTCAGATACCATCTTCAAGCAAAGGTTTTCCACAGCCCTGCTTTGTTCAAAGGAAGTGTGCATGGACACAGAGACTTATGAGTGCTCTGTCCAGTTTTACCACTATGAAAGTCTTAACTCTGTTTATTCTGCTGGGTTCACATTCTTACTATCTTCAAGCTGGCACCGACTGAATCTCATTTGGTCTAGAGTTTCCCTTTCACTAACTCCACCTCTGTCAGCACTCACCACAGAAGAACAGAAAAGAACCTTTGTTAGGAGTTACTTGCATTTCCTCGCGCCTCATTTTTCACAGTTTACAGCAGCCTTTCTCCCCTTTAGCTTTCTAGTTTCACAGCTCTTGGGAGAGATACTTCTCTCCGTGAAGGCTTAAAAAACTGTACTGGCGAGAGTAAGCTGCGTCCGAGTGCCCCGAGGGTTGCCCGCGGGAGTGACCTCCGCCCGGACAGGTCGGCGATGGGACCTGCTGCCCTCCCCCGCGGGGGCAGAGACACCGAGAGGAGCCGGCGGCTCCTCCTCTTCCTCCATCTGTTTCGCTGCCTGTCTCCTCCCCCGGCCCCATGTTTTTAACACTTAGCAAAGGCAGGAGTTTGGCACCCTCCGACCAAAAGACCAAAACAAACAGCGTTTCCAAGGACAGGTCCGGGGGGAGGGAGTCCGGGGGAGAAGCAAGGAGAGAACACTCCCTGTCAGCCACAGAGAAGGCGAGCCCGGGCACCCACCCCTAAGCGCCCCAGTCCCCATGCCCCGGGGAGGTGTCGGGGTGCCTCTGCCCTGCTCACCAGGGCTGCACGGGGGGACCCTGCGGCTGCGCCCGTCGGGGCGTATCGTCTCGGCGGACACTAAGGGATGGCGAAAGCCCAGGAGACACGGGGCAAGGAGAGAACTACGGACCCAGCGCAGGAACTGCGAAACCCACCTGCTGCAGCGGGTTCCCCACCGGGGCAGTAGAGCGACGGGCCAGTCCACTACCTCCCTGCCACCCACACCGCACAGGAGGGTAGCAGCCCCGAGCCAGCACTGTCCCGGACTCACCCCGCGACTCATCGCCCAGCGTGCCCGGACACCCCGCCGCCTGTCAGCTCCCCGGCCGGCCGGAGCTGCCCTACCCTGCTGTCCCCAGCCGGTCACTCACCGCTGCCCCTCGCCGTCCACACAACGCTCGCCAGGGCCGCACACAACTCCCCCCTTCAGATTTAAAGACCCAGCCTGGACTATTACTGTCTTCCTCGGGCATGTCCATCTCTGACGGTGGAAGCGGGGAGGTGCGTCATCTTTTCCTGCCAGCGGCGAGTTATCCACGGCGCTTAGGCCAGCCTCCGCTTATGCCAGTAGAAACTAACCGTATCTCCTCATTCTGCCTGCGACCGGGCACTAAGCTTGGGAAAATATGCGGCGACACGGGAAGATACTTCGACGGACTCCCCCGCGCTGGCAGTGGGCCGTGCCGGCATGCGGGGGATGGGCCGGGTGGTGTTTACGGAAGGGCCCCGTCCGTCCGGGTAGGCGCCGCCCCGGCCCCGCCCCCGCCGAGCCCGGGCGTGCGGGGGAAAGGGGCTATGCTCCGCAGGGAACGGGTCCAGGTCGCGTGTGCCTGCCTTTGTGCACTGCGCTGCAAAGGGAGCTATAACTACGTCCTGCCCTCGTTTCCTTACCCTATCGATGGGGGAGCAGTGTGGCGCCCCTCCACGCGCCATCTTGGCTCCCCACTGCCACCCCCGCCACCGCGGCTTCAGAGGAGCCACTCGGCCCCGTGCTGAGTTTAGTCACCCGTCTCGCTCACGGCTGTGGTGTCCGGAGGCTTGCTGAGCGCCCACGGAGGAACGTAGCACGGGGCAGTGCAGCACTATCATTATAAATGCTTTGCTTATTGCTGTATTGACCTCGTGCACTGGTAGCTTCACGCACCCACTGTCAGGGTCATCACCTCTTCCTGTCACAGAAGCTACGTGCCACCACTGCCTCACCCACCAGGAAGCACGGAGGGCAAAACACCGGCAGTCATCTCTGAGGCAAGAGCTCACTAACGCACTAGCCTTGCCCATCATGAAGACGGAGCTCCCCTTCCTGCAGGTAACCTTCAGCACACATGGTGAACTACACAGAACAAACACATATTGTACTCAGGTAGACCAAAGCCCACTGTAGGTCCCAGTAACCTCTGCTATAATATCAAGGGCTTGAAGCAGGGAACAGTGTTTGGTTACGCAAGTGCCAAGTGCCTGGCTGGAGAGGGAGCACTTGCTTGCAGTGATGCAGAGCACCTGTCAGCCTGGCCTTCAGAGACATTAAATGGGATCAAGTCCAACAGCCGAATCAGGTAGCTTCTATAAAGAAGACAATGTTTTAAATAACTGCATTTGCACTACTTTGCCCCACTTTGGGTGTGTTACATGGCAATGACAGTCTGAAAGAGGTTCAAAAGGGCTTTGTAAAAGACTGATAATATACAGATGGGCTACTTTGTACAGAATTGTTATGACTTCCAAGGATGTAATTTATTATTATTTTTTTACATCAATTTTTGCTTAGAGACCCTCTGAAATATGGGGAAAACACAAGTTTTTTTCTGTTATGGCTGCTGACATCTTTTATTTATTAACCAGCTAAAACTGCACAAAGAGTACTTGCAAAAACACCAGGGACAGTGATTCCAGTGATTCAGGGTCTGTTTTGCTTCTCTGTGGACTGGATTTGTGGAAACCTGTGTTGCTTAGTGGCCTAGCTTGCACAGGGAGGGAAAGGGGTCAGCCTCACCAAGTGAAGTAGCTTCTAAATACTGATATGAAAGAAAGCGTCAGGGGGAAAAGTAGCTCAGCCTAAAAGTATGTCCATCTCAATCATGAAGTAAGAGATGGGATTCCAGAAAGGAATGGCTTTAAAACAAATTTTTTTTCAGCTATAGCAGTGTCATTCTCTCACAAGCCCACCAGCTGTTTTGGAGCCCATTCTTAAGTGCATATTTTGCTCTATCTATCTATCTGTCTGTCTGTCTGTCTATCCATCTACCATATCAGAGATGTACATCTGTCATATATAGCTGAGGCACCAAGATTCTGGTCCAAAAGCCAAGAATAAGTTAGACACTGCAGTACTCAGCACTTCCCCTTCTTTTTGGTTTCAATTCTTTCCTGATCCAGAGGCACTGAAGCTATAGGCCACTATATGGATCTTGAAGTAGATTACCTACTGGAGAGATTTTCTCCACAGAGAAATGATACTTTTTTCTCACTTTCTGGTGTCCTCAATGTCAGCCAGAAAAATAATTTTACAGCCTTTAAATTTCTTCTGCTCAATTAACAAGATCAATGTCCTTGTGTCTTATATAGCACATGCATGTATGTCCTGGATTTGGCTGGGATAGAGTTAATTTTCTTCCTAGTAGCTGGCAAGGGGCTGTGTTTTGGATTTGTTTTGAAAACTGTGTTGATAACACATGGATGCTTTAGTTACTGGCGAGCAGTGCTTACACTGAGTCAAAGCCTTTTCTGCGTCTCACCCCACCTCAGCAGCCATGAGGAAGGTGCGCAAGAAGTTGGGAGAGGACACAGCCAGGACATATGACCCCACTGATCCAAGGGATATTCCATACCATAAGGCATCATGGTCAGCAATAAGAGAAGGTTGGTGCAGGGGCACAGCTTGAGGACTGGCTGGCCATCAGTCAGTTGCTGGTGAGAACTTGTTTTCATTTGCTTCACTTGTCTTTCTTGGCTTTTGTTTACCCCGTTGTTATTTTCATTTTGATTACAATTTGATATTATTTTAATTTTTTAAATTATTAAACTTACTTTATCTCAACCCACAAGTTGTCTCACTTTTACCCTTCTGATTCTCCCTCTCATCCCACTGGGGACATGTGCGGTGAGAGAGAGTAACTGTGGTGCTTATTTCCTGGATGTTAAACCATACAAAGGTACACATTTGGAATTTTGACTAGTGTCTCAAGTTGACTTTAACTCTTGGTCTTTCACTACAGAAACACTATTAATTGAAATTAAGGACTAGTTTGTGCTCACTCTTTGCAGCAAGTTGGCTGAAACCTTCCTTACTGTTATGAGTAAAACTGTCACAGACAGTAAAGCCGATAATTAATGCTCTGCTTTATCCAGAAAACAGCAAGGCAGCTACTGAGTGGATAAGATGTGCAGCTGCATTTGGCCCTGTGGGTCAGAAATGTCCCAGTATGTGGCTAACTCATGGTTAGTGTGGGAGGAGAGGGAAAGGGCAAGGCATGCTATAGTTTATGCCAGGGCTTACGACAACTAAGTTAAGAACATAACTTAAAGTCACGAGACATTTTTCCCTAATTCAAATAACTGAGCCAGGCAGATTTGCTTTAGTGCTGACAGATGGATGTTAAAACTCTGGGTTGACTGAGATCGTCAGGCCCAGATTTGATAATAGGCTCAACATCAAGACAGAAAGAATACAAGGCAGGTGTAAGGATGTTTTCTCAGCTTGTTCTTCTGTGGAGTTTTCCTATATTCCAAGGAGAAATAAGTCTTGTGAGAGGCAAATAGGGTTGCTACTTCTCCCCACTGAAGTATTTGTCTTCAAAGGCAAAGCAGAATATTGACATTTCTGAGAGAAAATGGTACATCAGTAGCTTCCCCAAACACACCAGTCTGCGGTGTCTAGCAACTTTACCAACTCGGCAAATTCCTAATGCATACTCCCCTCAGCACTAGTAATTGGTCTTTCTGTACAAAGGAAATAAGAGTTTGACCCACAGTGTCAAATACAACAAAAAGTTATTTGTAGAATGGTACTCTTGGTCAGAAATAGTTTGCATTGGTTCCATGGTGAGAAAAATCTTTAGGTAGTACATTGCTAACGCTTTCCTTGACACTACCAAGCAAGAGAAGCGGAAATAGTGACAGTTGCCTATGCTACCTTACTCCCTGAAACAGATTTACATCCCTTGATACTTAACATTGATGATCCTCTTGATTATTCTCTTTGGCGAAGTCCATATGGCTCAGTTCTTATAGTAAACTCTGAACTAAATGGCTTCAGAGCTAAAATCCTGGGTCTTAGGGTACTGCTACAAATCCTAGCTTTTCTGGGCCTTTACTAAATAGAAACCTGATATCCCCTTCTCATAAAGTGTGAGAGAGCTAAGGCTGTGGCTAGATGTTCACGGTGGAAATTGCTGTTGTAGCTTTCCCAGGGTGCTTTGTTTGCTGCTGAAGATTTCTACTCTCATTGTATTGAGGAAGACAGATTATTCCGAGGGTTCCTCATCTGCCACTTCTGATATATATTTAAGACAACCTCCTGACCCCATGGAAGCTCTCTGTTACTTGCTAGAGCCAGGGCAGTAACTTCTGTTGTGGTGCTCATAACTTGCAGTCACACCAACATCCTCTCAGGTCTGTGCATTTGACAGAATTGTGATAACAAAATGCCTGAGACAATTCACTAAAAATTCTCCTCTTATCACCCATTCTAGTAGTTACTAGAACATCATCTATAGACTAAACAGTTCAGTTCATCCTAAGCCTTGGCAGAGGTGGAGCTGTATTTGGCAGATTGACATCAGGGGCTGTGATCCAGATGACTGTACAATAATCCACTGTTTCTAACTAATACTCAACATAAAATTTATTTTTTATGTATATATTTATATATATGTAAAGGAAGAATATACTGTAATCAAAGGAAAGACCAAGAAAAGAAAACTACTTCGAAGACAAAATTTGATTTAATTTCTTGCTGTAATCAAATAGAGAAACAGATACATTCAGTGCCGCAAGCTCCAGCTGGAGCCCGTGGCACAGGGAAAGCCTGCTCAGCATTTCCTTAACTGTCCTGTGCCGGGACTCGCTCCGTGGGGAGGATGAAGGCAGCAGGCTCGTGTTGGCGTGGGGAGGCAAAGAAGCATGCTCGGAGCGGAAAAGCTCTGCGGGCAGACTCGGTGCTGAGCTCTCGGTCTGTCCATCTCGGACAAAGCCGTCCGTGACCTGAGAGGGGCTTATCTGGGGCCTGGAGCACTCCTGCCAGCCAGGGCAGCAGCTGTTGGGTCCCTCGGGACCAGCCCGATGTCAAGGCGAAGCTCTACAGGCACTAGAAACGGGTTGGGGAGAGGGGTTGCAGATGGAGAAAATAACTTTCTTTCCACACCTTTTCTCCCAGTCATTCCGGAGCTTGCTGCGGGTATTCCAGCCAAAATCACAAGCAATCAAAGCAGAAGTTGCATGAGGCAGAATTTCGCTGCGTTCTACCAAAACTACGAGGGGGGCCAAAAACTGGCAGAAGGACCGGTCTGGGTTGGGGGACGCCCGGCGCGGGGGGCTACCGGGGTGGAAAGCGGGTCGGGAGGCCTGTCATCGCGAGGCTGGGCCGGGGCTTCCTCTCCGCCCCGCCCGCCGCTTCCCGGTCCCATTGCTCCCCCGGGGATGGGGCTGGGCCCTGTACGCCACGTCTGCCTCCCGGCAGGGACGAAGCCCATCCCCGTGTGCGT